GGTTTTGTTAAGAAAGATACTAAACAATATTTATTTATGTATGTATTTATGTTTAAATCTAAAATAAAATTACAAATTATTTTTATTACCTACTTAAATTACTTAAAATTATTCACATAATATATCAGTATCACTATCGCTATCATCGCCTGTTCTAATTATTATTTGTTCTATATTATTTGGAATATGGATATACGATTGTTCTGTTTTTTCTATATGTTTAAAAGAATTTGCCCAACTTTCTGTAGAGATGTTAAAAACTTCGGTTTCTATAAGTTTGAGGACATTGGAGTTAACACGGGGAAAAATATTGTTACGACGAATGCCAAATTTCAGTTGATGCCAAACATGTTCAAGCTTAAAACTGTATGCCCTACATTTTTTGCATAATTATCGCAACGTATTCCTTTTGTAGGTTTAAGCTTTGTAGAACCTCAATTAATTGTTTTTTGGTATAATCTTCGTGAAAATAAATGTCGTTATTATACATGTAGTTTTGGATTGTTGCTTATGTGTCACATGAGGAAGGGGTTTTAGTCAACTATCTACTGTGATAACTTGCATTGTCCATTACAATGACGCTATTTGGAGGAATGTTTGGAACTAGTTTGTTTTTAAACCAACCTTCAAATAAATCAGCGGTGGTGTCTTCATAGTAATCCAGAGAAGAATCTGTAATATTTTTCGCAGGCAGAGAAAGTCCATTTGGGATCCAACCATCTTTAGAGCCAGCATGCAAAATAGTTATTCTTTTACCTCTTTTTGATGGCGCGTTTTTTTTTACACTTATCAGTTGAGTCAACCCAACCCTTTTCAGGGGTATCATAAGTGTCGAACCAGGTTTCATCCAAGTAAATAATTGGCCTTTGTTGTTCTTTGTAAGTCCTAATTTTTTCTAGATATTCCAGTCGCCATTTCTGAATTCTAAAAGATTACATTACAACTTGACTTTTGTCAATTTCTTTAAATCTAAAACCCATGTGTTGAATACACTTTCATAAGGTAGTTCTGTCACATTTAACACCGGTTTCATCTTTTTCAAGCCTCCTAATTAAGATATCTAATCTAGGTACGCTTTGTCCCTCGTATAACTGGTAAATTTTGCGGCGTATTATATCTTGATCACTTTCATCTACACTCGAGAAAATGTCAGCATCGCTTCTTTTTTTCCCCGCTGAAATGGGATTATTCACAATTTTCCATACAGTTGACGTTGGAATTTTCGTCAATGTGGCCGTTTCTTCTAAAGATGCTTACTTGCTGGCACCACGTTCAGTGAGAGGCAAATAAACATTGTTTATAACTTCTTTAGTCTCAGTAGAATAGTGTTTTCTACATTTAGGCGGGAGCATCTCCTGAGATACACTAGACTCGCACATATTTTGCATAATTCGCACACGATTCAACACACGAATAATTACTAATAAACTTAATCTAAGTAGTATACCAAACCAAAGAATATTAAACACAGGTAGGTATATAATTATTTTCTATTACGGACTACAATTTTACCTGAATTGAAATTCCGAAACTTTAGGTAATAATCTTGTTGCAATGTATGTTAATGACTACCCTTGGATAATGCCATTCAGAAGCAATTTGTCACTTTCTTATATCTATCAACAGACCATACCCACTTCAACCTGAAATTTTATTATCAACATTTTAAATTTCTTCTCGGATACGCGTCAACGCAGATATTTGCATTGTTATATTTGTAATTCTAAAATAACAATAGCACCGTGAAAATTTTAGGGATTAATTCGCAAAGCCTTTGTCGACAAGAGAAAATGGAAAATCCCAGTGTTCCTATGCGCATAAGTCGATTCTCTATAATTCGGGCCGATTGGAAAATTACGAAAGATTTACGCGATCAAAGAAAGTGGTTTCTTTGACTATGAGTTTGCCTTTATTCTTTGTTTTCGGCTCGCTTAAATGAAAGACCGCGGAAGTTGATAATTTGAATTTCACAGTTTAGTTGTTCCACTTTTTATAGTTATTTCGGTAGTTCGCGACAGAAAATGTGTATGTTAAAGTTAACGCGGAAATTTCTTATTTCTCGCGCTTTAATTATTTTTGTTTGATGTTCTTCAAATGCACCGTCACTTCGTTAAAAATTTCTGCGAAAAATAGCAAAGAATTTTAACGTGCTCCGATGGTATTTTCTTCGATTAATTATCCAAGTAACTGGAAAATGTAATGTAAAGGTAAAATCAATCGAGTTCGAATTAGATTCCCACTGCATCGGATTAATTTTTAATTAGTTAGACTACAACTCGCAGAAAAATTGTAATAAAATTATACTTCCGGGTACAGAATGATTCCCTCATAATATGGTGGCTTGAAACCTACTTTAAATTGTAATTGAACATTTTTTTCATTTAATAAAATGTTATTTATATCTTGCGTGTTTTTTTGCAACTCGAATGGTAAAAATTTCATCAGAATCGGGGCCAAATATCCACACAGTTATTCTCAGATAGTGCGCCGAATAAAACGATGGGAAAATGCAAATTTCGCTGCAATATTTAACAGACAATGCAGCAAGACAATCTAAATGGTAATTTTAAATAGGATTAACGAATTAACCGTCAAATGTCGCAAATTAAGGTTGTTGTCTTTCCAATTCCTATCAGAAATAGCGGGCGAAGATTGGCCGTTATTCATAACGTATTTCCGTCACATCCTATACAAAGCCGTTTTCATTTGCATTTCCATTCCCAGCGGGTATATTTTTAAAAAAGTTCCTATTACTGAAAATTCCTTCGTATAGAGGGTAGCGGTTTATCTTTCTATTTTGTTGGGTTTCTCTATGTCTGTTTCGGACATCAGTTGTGCAGGGTGGGCCATCGAAAATATACAAGAATGCATATCCGCCAGCAAAAGTTCTTGTAAATACAAACCAATGCTTCAAGCATAAATAGTAACAATATTAATTACTTGGTATTGGGAAGATTACGAGGATTACCAACTCCAGTTTAATTCAACTCAAATCAAATCGATGTTATTAAGGAAAATTTACAATATACATAATTAATACATGTAAAGGTGTACATACTCATAAAATTAGACGGCAAAAGAAGATATATACAGATTTATTATATTGTTCGGCAGATCAAATCAACCCACCATTCCAGTTTTTGGGTGATAAAATACATGAGAAATTTAATAATAAAGCACGAAAAGGACGATACTATCTACATATTGCTACTCCGGTCATTAACAAAAATTAGAGCACTATAAATTATCACCCAACCCTGTACGACTACATTGAGTTCCTTGAGGTTTTGCAATGTTGCATTAATTGCGACAGTAATAGTGGAAGTGTAGAAATTTCTTTTACTATACCTTCAGGTCGTATTTTCTAGAAAAAGACTTGTTAGGGTTATACCCTTCAGTTGCGACGAACAATTTCATTTATACATTCAATCTAATTTACATCGTACTCGATTTTGCCCAAAATACGCCATCCCTAAAGCTATCCATCCTCTCAAACATTTCAAAATGTCGAAATCTACCCTCACATTTTATTACTCTCATCGAAAGATGTTTATCATATTTATGGCATGAAGTCACTGATTGTTCACTCTGTCTGTCATCGCCAGATTTTTGCCTTTCCTTTTTTTCTCGAACATACCGGCTGAGTAAAAAGAACCACTCAAATATCTCCAAAACTTGCCAAAACTGGAACGATAGAATTCAACATCGGGAAGACTCAGAAATGCCAACAGCAATGTTGTCAGATTTAGCACTTTTACGTTACAACGTACAAATTTTGTAATTTTAAATGGAATGCCCTATTTATTTGTGAATGTAGATTTTAGTAAGGTCAGATTTACCGCTATATCTCAGAATTTTAGATTTTGAACTTAGGAAACTCTAGAAGCGTAATCAATGGCAACATGGCTGTTAGTATTTTTGTTAGCATTCTGCATATTCAAAAACCACTAGGTATTGAATTTTATTGTTCCAGCTTGGGCAGTTTTGGAGATATATAAGCGTTCCCGTACTTTTTACTAACTCGGTATGCGTTATACCAGCAAGTCTCAGTTTTAGATATCCTGTAAATTGAATATTATTCATATCCCAATTCTTGTTTAAAGTGATTCCTGATCAAATTTTATAAATGAAATTTCTAAAATAACCAAAACAAAAAGTTTCCTAAAAGAAAAGTTTAATAAAATGAAAAGACCAATGGATTATTGGACTTGAAATGTTTTCTTTTTTTAGTAAAAGTTTCGCATAGTAAGTCAAATTTTCACGAGCATTGCTAATTATTGCGAACATTTCAACGTTTAGGAATATGCATGACCGTTTATTAAATGTATCTTTTTAATATGTCGGATTAGTTAATTAAATTAGCCTGTTATTGTTTGTTGTGAAATATTCCGACAAATTTCGAATTAAAAAAAACAAATTTTTTTGTTCTCTTGATCTTATTTTAAGTAAATGACACTATTATAACACGTCTCTTTCTGTACAAAATGTTGCTACCTAAATTGATATCCGACATTTCATATCCGTGCTATTTTGTTTTGTGTTGAGTTAATTAATTAAAATCAAAAATAAATTATCAAAAAATGAAGGCAGATTCTTATTTGACAGGATAAAGATGATGTTGCTGTTACGTAGAAATGTTGAGTTTCAAATATCTTAGAGTAAAAAAAAATGCTGTAACAAATAACAAAGTGTCATTTATTCAAAAATATGAAAAAAGCCGATTTTTTTCCGGATATACCCGAGAATGGATATGTTTTACCTTTTATTTTAAATTTGTTGATTAAGGAGACTAATATCATTTGATAATAATAATTTTCGTCAAAATTTATTAGCCGTCACGGACAATTAACGCATGTTTCCGTTTTTTTACCAATGCTTTTCAAGCCCCATATGATTTCGCGTATTGGTTTCGACGGGCTCACCTTATATGATGCATTGTAGTGAAAGGATGTCAATAGACGCCAAATAAAACTTTTAACATGTAATAAAGATTTACGTACGGTTTTGTCTCCCAAAAGTCCGATACGGCAATCGAGATTTATGGTCGAACCAATTCTAGCCGTTACGTTAGTCACTTCCGATCCTTCTTCGAAAAAAGGCCCGAATCGGGAGTCTGACAAATGGAAGTGTGCAGGAATTACAACTCTGTTTGGGTTATGTCCGTTGCCGTGACGTTGTCGCATAGTAATACTGGTCGCACCAAGTTCGATCTTTGTGGTATCCGGATGATCGTGTTTGCTTAAATTTTCACGAGGTTCCACTTTTTTCCGTTCCACTTCAGGCACCATCGTCGTCACCTCTGGACTGATCGTCAAGTGCTCTAAGGTGGTCGGAGGGATCGCTTCTATAGATTCTGGAATGATAATTCACATTTATCCGTTATTGAAAGTATTTTAACAAATTCTTACACATACAGATTTACTTTAATAGGTATATATCAAGTTTTAAAGTAAAAAAAAAGTTTTATCAGTTTATGTTCACTTCCAATTTTACTAATGGCCCCTGACTTGAACACTTTGAAAAGTACAGAATACAAAAGATAGAAAATGCATGTTGTCGCCTCAATCTTGGAAGAATTATGACAGGAGAGCATTGAATTCCAATGGTTAAAGATGTCAAGGATCTTAAACTGGAAATTTTCTTCATATATCAGAAGCAAAAAGAAATTATTTGTTCCTATGTTTAAAATTTTGGTCCCAAATACATTTGGCCCAAATTTGATCTGAACATTTTTACTTTACCTAATTTTTATGTACATTTGTGGAATATTTTATTCTTGATCAAGATCGGAAATGTCACTGTAGCTCTCAGAACTGTCGCCAGAATTTACGCTAGTGTCTTGGTGATTATCAGAGGAGCATATTTTCTTTTCAGTTCTTTCTATATGTTGAACATTTTGTTCAGTAACATGGTGAGATGCTTCATCTATTAAACATGTTCTGTATTAAACACAAAGTGATACAACAACATATCGTATTTCGCAGATATTTAATATTTGTGTTACTCATTCCTCTATTTGTGGGAAACTTTCAGCAGCTCTGATTTCAAGTAGGAGTCGTCAAAGAAAATGTCTTTTTCGCGCAACTAATCTTGAATTTCGACGAGGTTACTAGTTCATTTCGTCATGACAATCGCCGTCGCTGTTCTTTGATAAGAAAAGTCGGCCCCTAGTGAAAATTCTTTTGCATATCCTGTATGAAGCAGAAGGAAACACGGGCCTCTTTTTGTGGTTGTTAAATCTTTTAAAAAAGTATTTCTGGGATTTGTTATGGTATTGTCACACCAATCATAATTAACCGTGTGAGCCACATTGATCCATCTTTCATCTAAATACTTTTTATAAAACTTCTGGATTCCTCCTGCGTCGGTTTTTGTTGACTCGAACTTGCTAACGTTTCGCCAATCATTCTGTTGGCTTCTTCAGAGCTTGACTGAAACTAGCTCCCATTTTACTCTGTACCTGCTTATATATTGTTTGAGGTGGGCGGAGCTAAATGAGTGGCATAAACACTGTCCCGGATGACTGATTCTCATATTGGTGACAGGTAAAAACCTGAGTCGCAGTTAAGATTGTTAAGTTGCCTATAGATCTCTATAGACTCTCGGATTTTTTGTTGGTAGAAAAATAGATCACATGCAAGAATTTTTGTTTTATCGAATAAAATTTTATGTCCGGTTTCGTGATTATGTTCGGCAACAGCTGGTGAGTTTATTTGTCTAGTCTTAAGGCTCTTTCATATTCTGGCATCTCAAATTAATTTTTTTCTTTGACTGATCGAAGATGTTGAGAGATTTTTGGACAAGTTTTAAATCTGGTTTTAACTTAATGGAACAAATGCTCTCTATATATATACACATGGGGAAGTGGGAGAGGGAATTACGCACTGTTCACGCAACCAATCAGCGAGTATAATAGACTAAATGGGATTGGACCTCTGTCCTTGTTCAGTGCCTTATTCCCTCTGTTAATAATTTCTAAGCTTTCGTAGGCATCTAATTTTCTACTATTATTTACATGTTTAACTAATTTTAAATTACTTATGATAATTGTTGAACATATGTTCGGCTACACTTGATTTTTATAATATAGTAGATTAGAGATTAAGTTTAGTTTTAATCTTCTCCTGAAGATGCCAACTTGGTTGGCGAAACGCGCATCGAGTAGGTAAAATTGAGTTTCGGTTTGTGGTAAAACGCGTTATTGTGTGTTAGTGCAGTGCCGAAGGTTCCAGTCAAGAGTTTGATAAGGATAACAGTGGCAAGCGTGGGATTGCTTTCGGCTTCATTGCTATTGGAAGATTTGGTGAAGTGTATTTTGTGATGGAACGCTTAATATCTTTAATGTGGAAATTATTAGAGAGAAGAGCAGAGGTAAGGTGTTTTAATTCTGGATTCAGTGACTCGGGCTGAGATAGTTTTACGGGTCTGTAAACAAGAGAATTGATAACCGATAATCTTTGGGCAGGATGGTTATGTGACAATGTGTGCGTAAGTTTTCTGTAAACAAAATGACCCAATGTTAGGTCTGATTTTATATTGATAAGAATATCTGAGTATGGGAGGTTGTTTTTTATAAAAATAATGATATTACAATTTTGTTCAAAAACTATACCTTTAATTTTATTTTGAGCAAACTCCTAAAACTCTCATCATATATATATATATATATATATATATATATATATATATATATATATATATATATATATATATATATATATATATATATATATATATATATATATATATAATCGCGACTGACTTGTCCGCCTTTTTCTTGAGGCAGGATTTTTAAATTCCCTATTTTAAAAATTGTGTTTTCACTGACACCTTTCAGTCTTGAATCGTCACTCACAGCTGTACTTAAACTCAACATTCACTAGCAAACGGTATTTTGTTTGAATTTCTTGAATTTCATGGCAAGAAATCGAACTATAAGCCATTTTGACAGACTTGCTCATTTCAGTCATTAATACTTTCTTAAACTAATCCAATAGACTAATAAGCCTATTAAGCTTTTTTTACCTGTAAAACAAATTCAAAATATGTTATTTTAATCTTTGTATGGGTAATCCATTTAAAATGTTTATTTGTATATATTTAAAATGATATTATCTATTTGCATGAAATACAGGTGTCTTTTGGGCTGAACCGACTCTGGGGCTGCTATACGATTCTCGGCAAATCTGTGCCGCTTTCTCCTATCTTAAATGCATTGCCTATGCTACCCACGCTGTATTCTGTGTTACTTGGACTATAGACTTCGCCCTGGGGCTGAGTGCATTCCTATTATTTGAAATAAAGTCGATTTATTATTATTAGAAAGGATTAAATTAAATTCCTCGTCGCATCAGTTCAGCTTACATAACAATAGTTTAATTAGTCCTCTAATTAGATGGAAATTAATCAGGCACTTCGAATTTCGACGATTGTTCTGATAAGAGAAAATTATACAACTTGAAACTCGCTCAGAAACTTAATAGTAAACAGATCTATTCAAGGGTCATTATTTCATTTCCCGAGGAACTCATAGCAAAGCTTGGGTTTATACTTATACCTTGGGTGTTTATTCTGTGATTTTGGAAATAATTCGTTTAGTTAATAAATAGTCCGTCGAAAAATGTTTCTATTGCTATGGCTCTGATGGTGATCTTTTTTTAACACTTATTGTAACAATTATTTCATTACATTGAATTCATAATTAATAATTTGATGATCTAAACGAAAAATATTATAAAAAATATTCTTGGAGACCTAGAAAAAAATAGTGTTCACCCAAGAAGTTCATCTCATATTCGGTGAAATCCGTATGCCATGGTGTAAGATCGAGCATGTCTCCGACACTATTTAAAATTGATTTGGAAAATACACTAAAGGTCTGGAAGCGAAAATGCAATAATATGGATGACGATCATACAGTTTACACCCTATCGTTTCCAGATATCATTGCACAAGATGGATATCGAATACATGACCAAGCAATAACATTCAAGCATTGGGATATATGGGATAAAAGTAGACAACAAGTAACAACAATAAAAAAATACAATTGTGAAAACCATAATAACATACACACAGCTCGGCGATGGGGAAGGGCTGCAGGAAAATCCAAAAGAGATAGAATACCAAACGACACGACAAGACAACATGGAAATAAAACACACTGCTGGTATGTTATGGACACGTAGAAACAATGCTACAGCATCGAATCCCATAGAAGATCATAAGTTGGAACTCTCAAGGGAGAATGATGGAGAGGCGAAATTGATAATGAAATTCAGGAAAGAGGTTTGAAGGAAAACTTGAGAAGAGATAGAGAAATTGAAGATCGGGAATCGAAAGATGTAGAGCGTTATTACCCATAGATTGATATGTATATTTTACCAATTAACCACATGATATAGTAGGAAAAACGTTGTTCCTCCGACAGTGGTCTACAGGAATAGACCGGATCAATAAAAATATATTTTTGTACGGTTCTTTTTTTTTTTTCACTGCTCGTATTTGACGAAGTAACGAAACATTTTTGTTTGTGCGAGACAATATAGGGAAGTCAGAAATCTGATATTTATGTCGTCCATTCACGGCGGCAAGCTTTTATTTTCTCCAATTGATCAATCAATGGGGTGTCAGACAATAAATAAAAACATATTCTGAAGGATACAACCTACAGAAAAATAATCCTCGATACGTGGTTCGCTTTGTTATTAAAGAAAATATTTCCTTTTATTGAAGCAATGCATGATCGTCTATTAGTAAATTCTGAAGTAGCAACATAATTGATAAAGGCATTCTGTTTATAGATGTAAGGGATGGTGCATGAAATACGTGGGATTTTGGTTCGTCGAGGAATTCAATGGGAGTTTGGTATGTTGTAGATTCCTAATTCGCTGTATCGTAATGAAATCGTATTTACCTTAAAAATATTTTTGAAAATAGCGAGAGGAAGAACATGCGGTTATGTATTGCTAATATATTTAATTATTATCTACTATTTTTGGTCTTCGCTAGTCTTCAGATAGCTGTCAATAAGTTATTGTTTTATTGTTTATTCGTTTGCAAAGTATCCGACGGAAATTTTTATAGATGGTATTTTTTAATTAATAAATCTCAGGCAATACTATTAATAAATCTTCTGGATTCCTCCTGAGTCGGTTTTTGATGAACCGATCTCGCTGAAGTTTCACCAATCATCCTGTTGGCTTCTTCAGAAAACTGAAACAGTTTCCGTTAAGCCCTGAAGGCGCCAACAGGATGATTGGCGAAACGTTAGCAAGTTCGACTCAACAATAACCGACGTAAAAAAAAAGAAAAAAAAAACCGTATTTTGGTGCTCCATCCTTTGTAGTCGTA